GTATCAATATCAAATAGACATTCCAATGATGGACATAATATTAGTTTTTCTTATACTAAATTGTTTTGCATGTCATGTGCACTTACATTGATAGAGTTGCAACTAATCCCGATAGACATTCCATAAATTCATAATAATATTATCTTTTCATAGATAACTAACTAAAAATGTTAATTTGTAAACTAGGTTTAAAAAATATATATATTTTGCAGGTCTTACAAATAGTCAATAAGAATTTTCAACCAGAGTGCAAAAATTGTTCCATATTAGAGTTCTACACGGCCTATTGGTGCATTCAAAGTTAAAACTTAAATTTCAGACAATTACATGATACAAGTTGAGAAGTGCAACAGTGGAAAAAAATAACAACGGTAAGATTCAAGAATCGTGCAGTGGTAACAATCATGATGGCATAAAGCAGGTGCTTCACCGAATCAAGATTAAAATTTCACTCTTGGAACACTACTATATAAAAATCAAAATTCCCATTGCACATTATGGGAGAACTTCAAGAAACATAATGGCACTAATGCCTATTGGTGCATTAAAAGTTAAAACTTGAAGGTTAAAACTCAAATTTCAGACAACTACATTACATGATACAAGTTGAGAACTGCAACAATTTAAAAAAATAAAAATAAAAAATTAACAACGGTAAGATTCAAGATTTGTGAAGTGGTAACAAACACGATGACACTAATGCAGGTGCTTCACCGACTCAAGATAAAAAAATTCACTCTTGGAACACTACTATATTAAAATCAATTCCCATTGCACACTAAGGTGAACTTCAAGAATCTCTCAGATGGAACTTATGCACAACAAAATAGATCGATACGAACACCAAATTAAAAGTATTCCACAGTGCACAATTCAATTCGCAAAAGTATAACCTTTGGCAACGCGGGGCAAAAAAAGAAAAAAGAAAAAAAAAATTATTCCACGGTCGCAGTGAAAATCAACATGAAAATTCAAGAACTTTGAAGGCGCGGTGGACCTGGTGGCGTTTCCGGGCCTTCTCGGATATTGCGGTGAGGACGCCCCAGACATCGGGATCGGAATACTGAAATGGCTGAGAAGCAAAATTTGCAGCAACCGATAATATGAAATCTTCGGGGCTCCGTGGATTTTTTGCGAGCGGGGAACTATTGTTAACATTATACTTGTAATTTGGATTACCGTGGTTGTTGGCACTGTGGGGTAGATGGGAAGAGCTGGCCTGGGAGAATACGGGAGATTGTTGGGCAGTTTTAGGGCTCGGGTCCTGGCCGGGCATCGAAGCCTGTGGAGTGGTAGGGTTATCTTCTTCCTCCGCCATTGAATTGCAGACACTCAAAGTGTATTTCTGTGTGAAATGGGTTTGGTAATTGCGGGGATTTTGAAATCCCTTGCTCTTATTCGATTCTGGGTTTGTGGCCTGTGAAGGAAGCTGAGTAATTTTTGTGTTTTTCATTTTTATTTTTTGTTCAGTGCATCTTTTTGGAGATAAAAGCAAGGATGTTAAGTGGGCACACACGATTTAGAACGTTTAAAGTCGAAGTAAATTCAGTGGAAACAAAGATGGATGAAAGTCGCATTACATTTACATAGCATCCAATGGATTGCATGTATGTTGAATTCAAGTAGATAGATTTGCAATATACGGGATATTGATGTCTAATGCACAAACGATCGAACTCTAAATTGGTCTCTAGTAAGGAATGACAAAAAAAGTTTGTTAAATCTGATACCTCGGGATTGAACAGGGTATGAAAAACATGATCCTCATCTCGTTTATCCGTTTTATTTAAAGTTCATTTCAAATTTAAATTTATTAATTACTATCGCACAAAAGAAAATAGTTAGTATTTCTAAACAGAATTTTACAAATAGAAAATAAAAAATGATTTTCAAAAATTAAAGACATAAATATAATATAAAAATAATAAACGGTATGGTAAATGAGGTATGGGACCTACCTTTCCCATTCCCATCGTAAACCGCCTTAAATCAAGTACGAGAGCAAGATAAGGTGACAAAAATACTTGAAGGGGTGGAGGACGAGAATGACGATTCCAACTCCGATCCTGACCAG